CAAGCCCGACGTGCTGATCCTCGGCAAGGCCCTGTCCGGTGGTATGTACCCCGTGTCGGCCGTCCTCACCAGCCACGAGGTCATGAACACCATTACTCCCGGCACCCATGGGTCCACTTACGGCGGTAACCCGCTGGCCTCGGCCGTGGCCACCGCCGCCCTCAAGGTCCTCGTCGATGAGAACCTGGCCGAGAACTCCGCCCGCATGGGTGAGAAGCTGCGCGCCGGTCTGCGTGGCTTCGAGTCCACCGGCCTGGTGGCCGACGTCCGTGGCCGGGGCCTGCTCAATGCCCTGCAGATCAAGCCCAAGGGCGACGTCGACGCCTGGGAGATCTGCCTGCGCCTGCGCGACCGCGGTCTCCTGGCCAAGCCGACTCACAACAACACCATCCGCTTTGCCCCGCCTCTGGTCATCAACGACCAGCAGATGGACGAGTGCATCAACATCATCGGTGACGTCCTGCACACCGTCTAAAGCGGCGCCAAGGAGGCCGCGCGTGTGCGCGCGTGCGTCCACAGGCCAGGGAAGCCGGGCCATGGTATAAACACGTGTGTGGATGTCCCCCCTCCCTGCCCCCCCCCCCCCCTCCCCATCTCCCTCTTCCTCCCCCTCCCCTTCCTCGCCGCGTGTTCGGGAGAGAGGGGCACTCTGAGGGCCGAGCCTGCCGCCACTCTTTCCCCCGCGGGCTCCCCTGCTCTCATTTCCTTCGCTCTTGACAGCATCCCGAGGAGGGCCGCGCCCTGGCCATGTCGCATGGCTGCGCCTACATCATCCCGTCCGCGTGCGCGCATGTTCCTGCGTTTCTTCCCGGACCAATACATCCATCCTCTTCCGCTGTTTGCTTTTTTTTGGCTGTGGGTGTCTGTGGCCGCGCCTCTTGCAAGTGGGCGTTGCGCCCATTCTTTTTACTCCCGCCCCCGCCCGCCGCTCTCGCCATCCCTCCATTGTGCCGTGTTCTTCCCGAGCAGGGGGGGGGGGAGGTGGGCTCCTTCTTCAAGACCCGGCCTTCGTCCCCCGTGTCGATGCGCCCCCTCGATATTTGCTTGCTCCTTTCTTTCCTCCTCCCCCTCCCTCTCTCCCGCCCTCCCGGCATCCATGCCCCCCCACACGCACTCCTGGCCTGCTCTCTGATGTCTGATGTGTATTCATCTCCCCTCTTCAGGTAGCGGGGAGACGCCGGTTCACTGTAGCGACTCCCGGAAGAAAGTGGTCACATAGGCTTCGTATGCCTCCGGAGCGGCCACTGCCAGGACCGGATGCTCGGTGCAGTGACCGCGCACCTTGGTCACCGTGTGATCGGATGCTCGGCTGCGTGTTCCACCGCCCCCGCCGCCGGTGACATACGACAGCAGGGACCGGCCGAGGCCCACCAAAAATGACGGCTCGCCCGGGGCCTCACCCGCGCCGGTGGGTGCTTCCCCTCCCACCGGCCCGGGGCCTGGGTGTTTCTGCCCCGGTGAGGGGGCGGCCTCCATTGTGCGGTCCGGCCCCTCGGCGGCCGGATCGCTGCCTGCCATGCTGCCAGCCGCGGAGGACCCCTGGTCATGGCCGCTCCCCGGGCCGGGCGGCGAGGCGGTACTGCCGCCGGGTCCAGCCTGGCCCCCCCCACGGCCCGACGACGCGGCGGCCACCTGGAAGATGTGCGCCGGGGTCACCTCCGGCCGGAGGGCGTGGCGCTGGTCGACATTGTCCGGATCGAACCAGGAGAAGTCCCGCGGGTCCATGTCCAGCCGGAAGGTGGTCGTGTCGAGCGGCTGCGTGGCGGGGATGACAACCGGCCCGGTTCCCGGGGCCGACTCCACGCTGCGTGGCTGCTTGGTGGCCGTCGCCATGGCCGGCTTCTCCCCCGGGGGGACTCCCTTCGGCCGCGGGCGTTGTTGGGCATCCTCCACGCGGCTGGCATCGGCCCCGATGCCACCGGAGAGGGCATCCGGCGGGCTGGGGTCGGCGCGCGCCGCGAGGAGATCATGCTCGGCGCGGGCCCACGCATGCTCGGCAGCCGTCATGGACGATCCATAGGCCGCGGCATCGATGGTGGAGATGTACCACTCGCGCACGCGGAAGCCGGCGATGCGCCCGGTACTGGCGAGGAGGCGCCCCTGTCGGACCGGCACCACCTCATCGTCAATGGAGTGTGCCACGGCCAGCTGCCGGTCCAATAGAGCACCGGCCAGCCCCGGGGCCGAGGGCTCCGGCAGCGACCACACATATTGCCCGGTGCTGCTCCGGAGGACGACCAGCCCCGGCGAGGACCCGGTCGAGTCCCGGCGATGGAGCTGCCGCGCATGGTCCAGGTCCACGGCGTTGCCATCGGCCCGGGTGGAAATCCCAGGGATGCGAAGCTGCCAGCCGGGCGGCATGCTCGGCCGGGCCGCCGGGCCGCCGGCCGAGGGCAGCTCGGCGGTCACGCGCACCTGCTGCCCGGGCACCGGTGCGGTCGGCATGGCCGGGTCGCCGCCGCCGCCGCCGCCGCCGGGTCCCGGCCCGGCCGAGTTCAAGGGCAGGCTGCCGAACATCTCATCCGCCGGACGTGCCCAATTCAAGTCCACCTGGCGGCGCACGCCGCGCACAATGTCCCTGGCATAGGCCCAGCTGAGGCCGATGAAGAAGCCGCCCGACACATTGCCCACGTTGAAGGCCGTTCGCAGGACATTCCGCGGGCTGAACACCCCGGAGTCCATGAATACCGCGCGGATTTGGGGCATCTTACCCATGGCGATGGCCACGGTGGACGCGCCGGCCGACACGCCCCAGAGGCCGATGTGCTCCGGGCGAATGCCCCGCTCGCGGACCAGGTAGTCCACGGCTCCAACATGGTCCAGGTACTCCGAGGCGCCCCAGTGGAAGTGCCGCTTGGACCCGCGCAGGCGCCCGCTGGTGCCCATGTTCCGCGCGTCGACCAGCAGCACGCTGAAGCCGGCCCGCCACAGGAGGAAGGCCGGCTGCAGGACGCTCGGGGTCCGCCGGGACGAGGCGAACCCATGCTGCATGATGATCACCCGCTCCATGCCGTCCGGGAAGGCGGCCTGTGTCCGGGCGGCCTCGGCCACCGTGGCCGTCATGTATGTTTGGTTGCTGGCCTGGATCCAGTTGCCGGGGCCCGGGGCACCGGCCTGGTCGGGCCCCCCGGGCACTGTGACCTCCTGGCAGCCATCCTCCAGGCGACAGGGCACCGAGGCCGGCTCATGCACGTACTGCCATCCGCCCGGGCCGTAGCGCCAGACATAGGACCAGGTCTCGCTGCTCTCGAGGTTTTCCTCCTCCTCCATCTCATACTCGTATTCGTAGTAATAGTAGATATACTCATCGCCGCCGTCGTCGTCGTCGTCGTCGTCATCATCATCTTCAAGATCATACTCCTCTTCGTATTCCGCGTCCTCGTCATCGTAGTCATCGTCATCGTAGTCCTCGTCATCGTAATCCTCGTCCTCGTCCTCGTCGAAGTCGTCGTCCTCGTCGAAGTCGTCGTCCTCGTCGAAGTCGTCGTCCTCGTCATCGAAATCCTCGTCGAACTCCTTGTCGAACTCCTCGTCAAACTTGTCGAACTCCTTGTCGAATTCATCCTCAATGTCCAGGAAGAAGGGGTCCACCTTGCGAGGTTCACTCTGCGGCGCCGCCGCGCTGGGGAGGGCCCCTCCACCAGGGGAAGACTCCAGCGGCTCGGATTTGACACTTGGCCGGGGCGGCAGCCCTGTCGTCGATTCCTCTGCACCTGGGGAGATGGCCCCGGATTCGCCCGCAGGGGCAGCAACCGCCCCGGAGCCGGCTTCCGCCACACTCCCATTCTTGGGCTTCTCCTCGTCCACAATCTCCCGTGAGGTGGGCAAGTCAGCTGCCGAGCTCCCGGCTCCGGGAGCCGCCTGCCCCAGCGGGTCGCGGTGCATGCTGCCATTTGATTGGTCAAGGGGCTCGGCGGCACTCCCTTGGGCGGCCCTCTCTGGCTCAGTGGGCGCCGGGGCCTGCGTGGCGGCCGCCGTCGGGGCCTGTGTGGCGGCCGCCGTCGGGGCCTGTGTGGCCTCTACTGTCGGGGCCTGCGTGGCCTCTACTGTCGGGGCCTGCGTGGCCTCTACTGTCGGGGCCTGCGTGGCTGCCGGCGTGGGGATGGCAGTTGGTGCCTGCGTCGCCAAGGGTTCAGCAGGTGTCCTCGGGGTCGGGCGCAATGGGCGCCGAGGGCCGGAGGGAGGCGAGTCACGGCCCCGGCGCCAGCGACCGCGACTCGTCAGAGGCCCCTCCACGGTGGCCCAAGTGTCGGCGCCAGAATCAACCTTGGCCGAGGCACCCTCCTGGCGAAGCAGCCACTCGGGCAGCGGCACTCGCGCCGGGCCGGAGGACTGTCGCACGTCCGAGCGTCTCCGGTCCGGGGCCTGGGAGGCCGGCTGCTCCGGGCCCCGGGCCTGGACAAGCATTTCGTGGACCGATGCATCGACCGTGACCACGCGCCGGCGAGGATGGGCGTGGGGCTTGCCGTCAGCCGGGCCGGCCTCCGGGCGCCAGCGCCGGCGCAGGACCATTCCCTCGGTGGCCGCGCCGCGCTTCGACCGCTGGGCCTCGGTGGGGGCCGCCTCATGGCGCCTGGCGTGGCTGCTTTCGCGCAGGATGTCCCGCTCGGCGAAGCCCGGCGCGCGAATGTACCACGCGCGGATCTCGATCAAGTCCTCCGCCGTGGGGAAGGACACGGTCTCAATGCGTGCCGACCGGGGGAATTGATACGGCTGCAGGGCGGAAACCCGGTCGTAGCGCGTGCAGCCGCTGTCTTCCAGTCGGTAGGAGGTCGGCTCATTCAGCGGGTAGACATTGTGCCGGGCCCAGGTGAAGACCCCGGCGGCTGGGGCACCGGTGGCATAAGGTCAGTTGGCAGGCTCGGTGGTCGGGCATCGGGGCGGGGCGAGGGGGCGAGGGGGGG